TCTAAAGGGAGCCTATAAGAAAGCTGAAGAGGGACTTTTTAGAAGGGTCAGTGACAGAACAAGGGTCAGTGGCTTTAAACTGAAAGAGGGTAGATTAGATGTAAGGAGGAAGTTCTTCCTTGCAAGGGTGGTGAGACACTGGAACAGGTTGTCCAGAGAAACTGTGGTGTTCCAGGTCTCTGAGCAACCCTGGTCTAGCAGGAGGTGTCCCTGCCTTTGGCAGGGGCATTGGAACTAGATGATCTTCGAGGTCCCTTTCAACCCAAATCATTCTGTGATTCTATGATTCTATAAATAGGGGAGAAGAAGAACAGCACTTGTAGTAACTGAGCACTTCCACAGAGCAGCATGAGGTCCATTAACATTTGAAGGGCCCAGATTCACTTGCTAAATTTTCAGCCTCTTTTGCTGGATGTAGCCTAAGGAGAAGCTCAGAAAACAGTAGCTGGAACATTAAAACCACTTTTCCTCATTGAGAAACCTGAAGATCCAATTGAACGTGGGGGAGTTTTAAGTGAGACAACTCAGGCATTAAGGAGCTTTCTTAGTGTAAGCCAGAACAGATCACACCTCATGGAAGTCTGCACAGACTCCTGACTCCTCAGTATTTACATGAAACCAATTTAGACTTTTCAAGACATTAGCAAAGCAAGCGTAAACAATGTGATGGCTCTGAGGCTTTAAGTGGATCTACACATATGCATCCCCTCTGAACTGGAAGATAAGAAAGTTAGCTTACACATAGGCAGCAAAAATAAGGGAAGCAAGTCTAGTTACTCAGGCCCTTCCTTTTCCCTTTGCTAAACAAAAAGGCGTTTTCCCTCAGAGCTAAAGAAGGGTCACGCTCATCACCTCTCACACAAGGAAGGTTCCCTGTCCCATGCTTTCCTCTGTGCCCTGCAATTTCTTCTCTCCTCTCTAAGCTCAGTGCTGCTGGGAGGTGCTTCTCTCTCAGCACCCTTCTCATGTGTGAGCTGCCGTCCCAGGGACCATATGGGGGTGGGTTATGTTTTAGCCTGTTGCAGGAAAGGAATTTGCCTTTTGATGTATAATGCAAAGTGCTGTATGTGCTGGCAGCCCCTTATAAATAACACCACCAGCTCCCTTTGATGGAGGGAAGTACATAGAGTAGTTTTCTTTATGGATACTAGAGGAGGTAGGAGGAACAACAGTCCTTTTCTTAAACCAAACGTTGTCTCCTGCAGAAGATCAAAGTGAGGTAAAACCTTGCATCCTCTCATGGGTGTTCTAGATGTGTTTCCTGTCGTTTGTTGGGTGCCTGGCTGGTAATCAGAGATGCTCTCCTCTCACAGACAGCTGATCCTGCTTTTCCATTTGACTCCTTCGTGGCCCTGCACAGCCAAGCTCGCCAGCTCTCAGCAGTACCAGCTGCTGGAAGACGTTTCCTCTCTGACTCCAGAGATGCTCTTTTCAGGCTCTCAGACGTTGTTACTGAGCAGATTTTTAGCCAACACCTCTGCCTCAGATGTGCTGATTCCAGCTGATTCCTCAGCCTACTGTTTTGCTCCATTTATACAAGATGGCACTGACTAAATTACCGCTCTCAGGCAGAGGTGGATCCAAAAGGTGGTTTTCAGAGAAGTGTTTCTACTAGAAATTTCAGAAAGTGCCACCACCGTCATTTACAAAAAGGTTAATGTATTATTGAGAGACCTTGATTGTCCATTCTTTTATAATGTCTTGCATTGTAATTCAGAGGAATGGGATATAAAAATGCTATTAAAGGCTAAAAACTTTCCCAGAATAATCTTTTTTTTTGCCTGTATTATGCAGAAGTATAAGTTCTGACGTTATGATGCTGTATTCTCCCCAGGTTTACATGCAGTGGCATGTAACAGGCACCACCTAACTCTTTTAGCGATGATGATTCCACATCCTTTTACAGACAAACTCCCATCTCCTGCCCTCAAAATCAGTGCTGAAGCTTCTGAGTGGATTTAGTTATAGCTACACTGGATTCCACAACTGTATGATGGACAGCATCAGAATTTATGCAGCTGTGTGTTACCAGACTGGGAATACAGATGCTTGGTTTTTTTTTCCATTTTTCTCCATTTTTCTCTAGAATAATGGAGGTCAAATCATTCCAGTCAAGCACTGCACAGTAATTGCAGTGGATATTGTCATACAGAGCCTGAAATGATTTTACTGCCTCTGAAAAGTTCAGCCTGCTGGAACACAGCCGATGTGCTTGGCAAACCAGCACCCTTTCCATTCAACATTTTTATCACTGAAGTAAAAGCTACGGATGGTCCTTTACTTGAGTGTTGTCCTCACTCACAGGGAAGGTTTGCCTGAAGGAACGACTGCACGATTTGGATTGATGAGCTTATCATTATGATCAACATATCAGTTTTGTGCTTTCTGCTATTATGCATGATTATTGATTAATGCTTAATGCATTTTCCCAGAAGTTCTATCACCCTCGCAGCACCTCTGGGGCAATGTCACTCTCCGCAGTTTTACATGGTGAGCAGCTGAAGCATGAGCTTAGGCTGGGTCAGAATTAGCACATCAATCAGAATTTGGGAGTTCCAGGCTGCTGGTCCTTTTCTCAGATCACTGGATCCTACTTCTTCCTGCATCCCAGCTATACTTTTCAAGCACACTCTCACTGTAAGCCCTATGTCAGTGCAATAATAAAGGGAGATTTTTCTACGTGCTCCTGCCACAGAAATCAAATTAAATGGCAGCTTGCCTCTGACAGTCAACACAGATCCTCTGAAGGTTCCTCACCTCACACAGAGAGATCTAAGGCTTCCATCACGTGTGACTTATTTGTTTGGCATTGCAATTTTACACCCTGGTTCATAAGCACCATGTCAGGTTGCTGTATCCTCTTTACTCCGGCACTGATAAAAATTAGAACACTACAGTACCACAGTATTTATAGACTTAAAATCTAGCAAATATGTCTTGCCAGACCTCTTGAATACACTAGGAAGGTTCTGAAGCATTACTGTACATTTACATAAAAGACACCTGCCTTGGTATTTTTTTTAAACAAGCTGTTGAAATCTTGACTATAGAAGAAAGATACCAACTTGTTAAGGCTGTTACTTTTTTATTTTAAATGGTACTTATAAAAATGATGCACTTCTCTGGCCAAATTCCAGCCAAGAAGCCACATCTTCCTATCTAGAATTTTTACTTATTTCAAGTGACTTTCATAGCTTTTACCTAAACAGTTTTTCTTGGACACCACAGCTTTGTGTTGATATATAGCTGCCACTGGGCAAAGCAATTTCCATATATAGGGCAAAACTCTCTCTTGTATAGCAAAAGAAAACTCCCTTGTACTGAAACAGAGAATGATTTGAGGTCAACAGGGCATATATAGAATATATTGGACTATACATCATGGACTGTTCCACTTATCATGATGTCATGAAGGTACAGGAGAGTAGAAACCAAAACAATATGATTGCCTTAAAGACAGTGTGAGATGCTTCTCACCCACTCCACTCCCCTACAGTTCAAAGGCAAATTAAGAGTGTTTTGTCTTCCCCCCACCCCGTCCATCCCCATGTTAGTTCAACAAGGCTGAGAGAAAGGTCTGGCTAGAACACTTAGCATCACCTTGAAAACAAGAACGAGTAGTGACTGTCCTTTAAAAGTGTTTTCTGCTGTGGGAGCCTTACCAATTTACCTGTGATGGGAAATTTTACACTGAAGAAACTCTTAGGGAAAAAAAAAAGTTGCTTTCAGTAGAATACACAGAGGATCTTCAGGGCAGAAAGTGATCAGAAAAAATTCAGATTGCTAAAATAAACTAAATGAAAGAAAATCTGCATTCTGTAGAGCAACATGGATTTCATAAGCTAACATGTAACTATTCCGGGTGTTGCTTAACTGAACAGGATTGAACATGTGCATTTCCAGGTTTTAAGTTCAACACAGAGTACTACAGCAGTGTTTCCACTTCTACATTAGATAAACTTTAGCGCTAAAATGGAATATTTGGATCTTAATGACTTTGCTTTAATAAGACCTAAACTTTTAATTAACCTGCCAAGATAAATTACAGCCCATAGCTCTTAGGTAACTATTGCAGACAGCTGAGACTCAACGCCAATGCCTCTTCTGGGAGAGGGATTAATGACAACTTTGGAATGAGTCTGCTTTTTTTTCAGCAAAGAAAAAAAGTCCATTAAACCATCATCGTTGCTAGAAGAAAGCTGAGTGCTGGTTTTATAGAGCAATCTTTAAATTACACCCAAATCAATGTAGGTCTATGAACAGTTTCAGCAGATCAGTCAGATCTGAAATTAAATATTATTGAATCAGAAACAGATTCTGATATTTACAGGGTGGAGGAAAAAAATCCTGTGTGTTAGAGTGTCAGATAGCCCAGAGCAGCATCCCTTCCTCTTTGGGTAGCAACAAATCAGTGCCTGTGCACTAAACTGGAACCTCTGTAGTTAATCTGTTCTTCTTAAGATCTCTCAGCTTCCTTTTGTTAGCAAGGAGAAATAGAGATTCCTGTTATTGTGGTTCCTACTACTAAGCCTTGCAGTGGTCTTTACTGGAGTTTTAACCCCAATAATCTGCCTAAACTACAGCTTGAGTAATTCTGGTGGTACTTCAAGGTGGGACTGTCTATCACACAAAACTGTTATGTGGTGTTGCTGAGTGCTCTCCAATCACTCCTATACTGGTGTGCCAGAAAGAGAAAAAAAAAAACAAACAAAAACAACCAAGAAACCTAAATAAAAAGAAGATCAAAGGAAGAAAATGAAGCAGGGAATTTCAAGGTTTTATTCCATCTTTGGCACTGGGTAGAATCTTGTTATGGATATAGACACTAAAAAGGCCTACATGAGATATTAGGGTCTAAGAGTATTCAGCCTGTTGCTAAATACATCCTCAAAAAGCACTGTCTGAAACCACACAAAGCCACCATGCAACCTGAGAATGTGCATTAATACCTGGCCTCGAGGCATATTTAGGAGCTTAAGAATAACACAGGAAATCCTTACCGATAGCAGTAGTAAGAAAAGAAACCACTTCTGATTCCTTGCCATCATTGTAGAAGGCTAAATGCCATATTCCTGAATCTAAATACTGGATAAACCCTGTCTCATGGCTGGCCAAGGGCACAAAAGCTCTGTGTTGTCGCTGAGGTCCTTCTAAGCTTCTTGCCTCCTGTGTCAGCAGACGTCTTCCATCAAGGAGCTCAACGAAGTCAAACTGAAATATAAAAAAGAGCAATGTTTGTATTTCAGGCTTCCTCCAGCTTTGCCTCTTGCTCTGCATCTACAGAAGCATCACAAACATGATTTTCTCTGGCAACTCAAGTATGCTCATGGACTACCTGCAGGTAACCATTTGGGAAATAGCTAGTATATAAATGTATTTTTTCTGTAGTCTCATGAATCCAGAAATCATCTTTATTTAGAATGTGATTTGGAATGTACTGACCCTACTGATGTGTTGTCATTCTGTAGAAACACAGGTAGGGAAACATGAGGTCCAGGGACCATGCCTAAATTGCACCCTAAGTATCATGATAAGGAGCTTATTTGTAAGCTTCTTTGCGTCTTGGCTAATAATGAAAACAGAAAGAAAAACGTATCTAGCCTAACTGGGTTCTTTGCCAGAATTGCTATGGGTCACCAAGGAAAAGATAAGAAGTATCGGTAAGTAAATTCAGGTTTTGCAGAAGTATTTTGCTTAGCCAGCAAGTGTTTTATTTGAAAGCAACAGCAACAGTGGTTAGAAGTTCATAGAACATGAAGATGGAAAAAAGATAAAGTAAGATATAAAAGTCCTATTTCGGGGTGGCTTTTTGAAGTTTTCCTCAAAGGAACATTTATTTTTTGCCAGGGTAACTTCAGCTGAGCAATGGCCTTGATTTTGATTGAAAATACACTATTTAAATAACTTTACACTGACTTTCTGCAATTATTGTATTTTGTCTGGTAATATATTAATGGGTTGAGTCAGACAAAAGCAGCTGAGGCACAGTTTAGCTTTTCTATTTGTTGACCTCACTTGGTTTTGCCTCTCTCATCCAGCTGGTCAAATTAGCTTGTTGTTTTTGACAAGAAGAAGAAAAAGAAGCAGAAAGAAACATCACTTATTGTTGTACCAGTAAATGTTCCTGCACTGAATGGTTTCTGAGTGTGGCAACAACTTTTAGGCTTCCTATCTCTTTTGACTTTACTGTAGCAAAACCTGGGTGCTTTTGTTATATTATCAGGTTGTCTGGTGTGGTCTTCAAAGTCAACCAAGAGAAGGACTTGATGACATGTTCTTTCCTCTGCAGTCATTGCTAAGTTGAAAAATTGAAAGTGTTGATTTCCAACAAGTTTGAGAAACAAGCCATATATGACAGAGCTTGCACACAAAAAGACAAAATTTGTCCCTAGAGTACTTTAATTACTGTTTTTTAACTACTTATTTATATGAAATAAGTTTTAATTTTTTTTTTTTTTTATTTATCTATCACTATATAGATCTCTCAAATTTGGTGCTGAAGTATCTTTTGAGAATGCAAAAGCTGGTACAACTGCAAAGGACTTTCCTTTTGGGTGTCTACCTAAGTTACCTTTGTCAGAGGTCAAGTTTCTATTCTGAAAAAAAATGTAATGTAAAGACAAATTGACAAATTATAAAAAATATAAAATAAAACCTATAAAACATATAATTAAAAATGTCATTTACTTTTTGGGAAAAAAAAGTCATGATTTAGTGATTTTAAGTTTAAGAGAATACTAGTGAGAGGTTGGTTGGAATGATACTTTGCGAGCCAGGTATTTGTAGCCACTCTGAGGATGAGCTATTGCCTGGGCTGATGCCTCCTCAGGTCTCGTGGCCACGAGTGACACAGTTGAGAAGGGCAGTGACAGAGGACATCACGATGCTTTCTGTTTGCTGGCAATGTCTCAGGGGAGTTGTCTGACTGAGGAACACATTGGTCAGGTGTACTGAAGAAGTTAAAACCAATAAGAGAAAAAACCTGTATATTTCCATTTCCATTTTGGACCATGATGGAACAGATTGACTAGATTTTCTGCAGACATCATAAGTAAAGTTCATCTCACCAAGTGCTGACATCTCCGTGGCAGCTTGAATTAGTTTTCTAGAACCACTGGATTGCAGTCAAAGAAGAGACACTTCCAAAATTCAATCTGCCTCACCCTAAAGCTGACATCTAAGAAATGCCTCATAGATTGTGCTAGATGTGGATTCTTAAAGCCTACTGAGATGAAAACAATTTCAAGCACCCAGCTATGGTGAGCTGCTGTTGTTATGGTTCAGTCTGGTTTGTGCTTACTGGAGGCTTCCTGCCAAGACTAAAAGTTTATTTTTATAAATATTTGCAAGATGCTGCTGTGGATGCTGATGATTTTGCACAGTTACTAGTTACTAGTTGTAAATACTAATTGAACCACAAATGGATTGTGCTTTTCTACATTTTAATACACTGAGAGGTTTTTAAGCATCAGTTAGAGTTATTGCAAGCAAGGAAATCGTAGATAATATACCATGTTAATCAGCTCAAATTCTACAAATGGAAAGATGCCTCCCATAAGCTGTGATGGACAATCCCTAAAATTTATGATTTGGCAAATTTTGGTCTAGGTCAAAAAGTATGTCAAAAATGATTTGATCTAAGAAGATTAAATCTAATAGATCATAATAAAATTGTGTAACTTTTATTATGACTTGTTGAAGAATGGGAAGAAAGGCCTTTAGTTAACAGTAAACTATTTCAGATTTCTGAAGGCTCTATTTCTAAGACTACAGAAATTTGGAGCTTGTATTTTATTCCTATTTATTAGCATCCATAGTTGTTGGTAACCTCAATGAGAAGACAGCTCACCACAGGCATAGAAAGTTTCCCAAAGACAGTCTAGAGTAGTTTGCAGTTTTAGCATGGATAAACTTGACTTTTAACATTTTACCAAATTCAGGAATAAATGCTAAGAGTCTACAGCCTTGGGATCAATTCAAAGATCTTGAAAGAGAATAGACTATGTTAAGGCACAGAAGAAATATCTAATTATCTGAGACAGGAGAAAACCTGATTATCAGCTAGAATTTTACTATGGCCATCAGCCAGATAGTCTGGGAAAATAATTGACTCTACTAAATTCTTCCAGGAGAGACTGTGTCACTACTCTAAGGATATATATTGCCAAAGTGTTATTAATGAAATCCCCTACAAAATTTAGAAATATGTAACACTTTGGGTTGACTTATGGGGTGCAGCAGATAGTCTGGATTATGCAAAAGAAACAATGAGATTTGTGTACACATGTATTAACTATAAGAGACAAGTTTACAATTTCAACACAGAAAACAAGTTGCATATTTAATGACTCCTAAGACTAATAAACTATGGTGAGATTAAACATCATATAAAAATATACAGTAGGAGAATAATCTTCTAATTGACAGCATGTTTATAAAACATTAAATCTAAGAAACGGGGTAATTTAAAAAGTACATTAAAGATTAACAAGTAATAAATCAATATTGATTCAATAGCTGCAACTTCATCAATTTATTTCTTCAGAACAGGGTAGATTTTTTTATTTGTTTCTATTAGTATACCATGATTACTATTATTTGAATAAAAATGTACCTCTGGTCATTTTTGATTATGTTTTAGCCCAGATGACGATTTTTTTTTTTTTTTAAATGTATTTGGCAGTTCTCAATTAATGGCTAGACAAAAAGCAGCACTTAGAAGGATTCTGAGCAAGTGCACTGCCTCTTCCAGCCTGTAATACCTACAAACGTGTCACATCCCACATTCAGCACCTCATTCTCAGCTGAAGCTTCAGCTGATACACAACCATGCTGTTTTATATGGGAAAGGTCCTGCTACTGACAAATCACTCAAATATCCCAGCAAAAATGAGGTTAAACAAAAAAACAGCAGCAATAGCAAAGTCAACGTGGGCTTCTTAATTGCTTAAAATATCACTATGGTTGGGTACAGTGCCCTGCTAGATTTAAAGATTTTGCTTGAGGTTCAATAGACTCAAGGTTCAGGTATTAAATCTTACATTTGTTATTTAAACAATTGGAAGTATTCATATAATGACTTCTGTTCCGTAACAAAAATTAATAATGATAAAAAACAAGGAAAATCAATGTAGACTTCTGATACACAGTTAGTATAATGTGACTGTGACTTGAATTTTTATTGAAATAATATATAAGTTTTGGGTTTTAAATATTCGAATGTCTCCATAAAAAAAAAAGACTGATTAAAATGAGCAATAACAGGACTACTGTGTCACTGAATTTATGACCTGCTGATCGTATTGAAATATTTTATTTCTGCAGAAAATGAGGCAGAGAAAGTGCAGATTTATGACACCTCTTTGACATAAACAAATTGCAGATGTGTTAATATGTAGAAGATACCATATTATCCAGCAAGATTGTAATAAACATATTTGTTTGTTCCAAAAGAAAATAAAGGCAGGGCATTTCTCTAAATCTCAAACAGTTGTGTTGTTTGCTGGGCTTTTCAGCTAATGGTAGAGGGCAAGGGTAAGTTGCAACATTTATATAAACCTTGTAATACTTGGATAATTTGCTGATGCAAGTGGGAGCAAGATGCTCTGCATTGCCATGACAGTTAAGTCCTAATGTATTAATGTGCTGAAGAGCAGCTTAGAAAATGAAACGGAAAGTAGGGGAAATAACGCACAAATTCCTTATTTAAGGAGATGGTTCTTCAGAGCTTTTCCCAGAAAGCAATTTCTTGACATGTCTTTTGCCAAAGTGTGTCAAGAAAATAAACTACTTTCATTTTAGTCCCACAGAGTAATAACTATATCTTGATTTCTGACCAAGTAACCAGGTGGCTTTCCATAAAAACTTGATTTTGTTTGGTTATACACCAGTTACTGGACCCAGAGGGATCACCAGCCCACAAACCCCTTTTCCTCCCCTGGCAGCTTGCTGCCCTAAGCAGCTGCCTGCTCTTCCTGTGCCTACAGCCCACCACGTTAATGTCTGTAAACTTTTTAATTGCCTATCTTTCTCTGGATAAATGACCTTTAACACCTTGCAAGCATGCAACACATACATGAAAGAAATAGCAGTAATAAAACAATAAGCCATAAGAACATAACTATTTAATTAATAGGAATGGGGTCCCATTACCTGTGTATGTGACGGTGGGAGGCCTTTCCTGCCATAGATGCCAACCAGAGCAGCCTTTCCTAAGGACACATTGAATTTCAGATGCACTGGGTGGTCTATGAACACCTGAGATCTCCAAAAGATACCAGGAGGGATCTTCTGCGTGGCTCGTCTGCCAACATCAATTTCTCCAGAGTCTATAAAACTGTCGTCTGGAAAGAAACTACTGGGCTTTCCTGCCAAAACACGGGAACAAAGACTTTGGATTAGCCTTAGATCCTAAAAGTAATCCAGTCACATTGGTATCTCTGATACTGATCTTGAGAAACAGTCTATTAGTATCCTGAGGTCTTCAGAGTACTTTGACTAGTCAATCCATATGATAATGGGAAGAAAACTGGCAGGGTTATTCCTGGCTTCAGTATCTGTTTTGTTTGAAAACATGAACACGGGAAGAGCAACCTGGAGAAAAATGGTCTTTTTGTTTAAGTTGTCACATCAGAGAGTATGTAATTGCATTCTGAAAATAAGAATAAATCAACTTACATTATATTCTAAATGAATAAATGTTCATGGATGGAGAAGTCATCATTAAATTAACAGGGAGATGTGTAGTTAGAGTTAGATATGTGTCACGGAATGGAATGGGAGAACAGCAGCATGAATGATGCCTAAGTGGAGAAAGGAAAAGGTTTCTCTATGAAATTAATTCTTGACAGTGCTAACAGTATTTGAAATTTGTTCAACAGCCAAAAAAAGCTAAACTAATAAAAAAAAAAGGCTGAGAAAAATGAAGGAAATGGTATCCTGCACTCGAGTAATATTTGCTAAAAATATGAGAGGTTTTAATTGGGTTTCGATACAATCTGTACAGTGTGTTATGATTACCCATCTTCTTTCAGGAGACAAGCAAATGGAGGCATCTGTTTCTTGAAGTGACCACCGGGTTGGAGAGCCTGGATATCCAGAAGGCAATTGAGACATGCCATAATGTCCAAGGGAGTCAGCAGGGAGCTCGGCATCCCTGGAAACCACGACTGAGAAATTCCAGGTTAGAAATTCATATGCTCACAGTTCTCAAAACTGGTGGCTGCTTCAAAAAAATTGGACCCAAAGGAAGCCCAGGGGCAGGATGAAAAATAAAATACCAGAATGTTGTCTTTTCAGGCTTTGCTATAAGCAGTGGCCACAGCTTCACCCACAGTGCCTGAAGAAGAGTATGGCAGCAACTGCTTAGTAAACAACCTTTAAGAACAATTCTAGTTGACAAGTATGCAGTGAAGGTTTGGCTCTAGTAGGGAGAGCATCATGTCACCAAGAAGAATTAATTCTTGATTTTAGTAATTCAAATAAATTTATCTCATCTCTGTGCCATTACAGCACACTACTCTATTTCACAGATCAAGCAATTCTAACAAAATGAGGAGGAAACTTTCAAGCACCTACAATCTTTTGTAGGAAAATCACATTGTAAGTTATTTTTTCTCCCAGAACCTACATCTGGGAAATGGGAAACAAAAGTATCTTTTCCCACCCATCACGAATTCAGGTCAAATACTCTTAGAATTTACTTGTCATGTTAAACAGTGGCGTGATAGAACAACATTTCATTTTATTGTTTCAAATTAGAATTTTTCCTTTAATATTATGTAATATTAACTACAGTATTTATTTCCTTAAACTTCTTCATATACCGTCCGAATATAAACTCTTCAGGAGAAACAGATGTAAATTGTTAGCTGTGTCTGAAAATCCATATAGAAATTACATGGACATTAACTGCTAACAAATCTCTGAAGATGTTTCTTTGCAGGACAGAGAATATTTTTTTCTCTCTCTTTTTTTTTTTTTTTTTTTTTTTCTTTTTAAACTATGTAAAACTTTTTTAGCCAAAATTTTGGTCCTGATAAGACTAATCCTTCATTTAAAGTTAGCAACTGCTTGAGTACACTGTTGGAGCAGGACGTAATGGCATGTTTAATTTCTGTGCTATCTTGTGGCACAAGTTTTATGTATATCAGCCCAGTCTAGAATGCACAGTGTATACACATGTTCATAGAAAAAGAAGCTACTGGCAGTTTTATAAGATCCTTATTTATCTTTGTTCATCACATTCAAATAGATACAGGGGGAAAATCTGATGATTTTTTTTATCCTTTTTCAGTCAAAGTATGTATTAATAAAGATAATCAGAAGCAGGTTAGGTAAATGGACATTCTTTCCAAATCATTTTGTGCTGATAGAATACAATTGTAGAATGAAAATCAACTAGCTTGATTCTGTAGGGGGATTATTTTATCAACTGGATTGTTAATATTTATTTGGCATACTAAAAATTACATTTCACAGCATCAGTATTAAAGGAAACAGTTCCCACGTCTTCATGCAAAGTTTCTTGTTCCGTTATTGTAAGATGAAAAGATTCAGGATTCTATTAAAAAAGAGCTAAAGACATCACAGGTTTTGGTTCAAATGAAGGATATATTCTTCTGATTACTACTTGACACGTTTTATAGATTCTTAGAAATTCAGATGAAAACCTAAAGTGTTTGATATGCACCCTGATAGTTCATTAATAACTATTGTCCACGGGAGTGAATCAGGGAAGGTAAGAATTTAACACGACAGATGTTGCTGTGCAAGAGAGAGCCTGGGGAAGATGAGCACTGGGTGTGTTCTGCCTGTCCAGACAGCAGCGCCTGCTCCGGTGAGCAAAACTGCTTCTGGGGTTGCAAAAGACAATTTCACAGAAATAGGTATTTGTACACGCCATTAGACAGTTTCTGTCTCCTCTTGGTGGACAGCTGTATGTCTGAGAAGCCATCCTAAGAGCTGTTCTATCGTGTTGCCATTTATCCTGTTACAGAAGCTCAAAGAAAGGCTCTCCTCACCAGGCTGGGCTCAGCCCCTGAAATTCATCCATGTTTCATCAGTCTTGAACCTATGGTAGGATCAAGCCCTGTGGACTTGACACTTCATAAAGAAAGTACAATAAGAAAGCCATTTCAGCTTCTTATCAGAAATTAGGTTTTAATCAAAAAATCTGACTCCTTAAAATTAACTTCAGGTCTGAATTCTTAATTGGGCTGTCAATTACTTTGCTCTTTCCACACACCACCTTGAACTTCTTAGTTGCCATAGCAACTATTCCTAATTTATTTGGATATCAAAATGAACTATTTCATTTCAGACCTTGCTGAAGCTGCTTGTGTTTTTGACAGCAAGGTACCCTGACTCATCAAAACACTTAAGAACACACTTACATTTCTCTGACTTCAATCTCACTTAATTACATGCTTAAATGCAAGCATGTGATTAAGTCCTTTGCTAAATAGGGATGGGCTTAAACAGATAAATGCTGTGCTGGAGCACAGCCATGGGTGAGAAGGAATGACTGAGAACTGGCAAGAAGTTGGTAATGATGCATTTAGATCAGCCGTAAGGCTGTTCTGAGATATCCCAGCCTATTTCATTGTGATCAAGAAGACTTTCAAATATATTCCAATCCATTTTAAAATACTTTTCAATCATATACATCCTGGTTGAGATCAGCAGCCATGCAATGCTGATAGTCCAGAATTACTTGCATAGGCACCTAACATGGGGAGAAAGAGATGTATTTTAAGGCTGGCCAGTGTTACTCCTGCAATAAAGATGTTGTCCTGATGTGGTTTTCAATCAGGACAACATATTCTCCTCCCAAGCCTACAGACTCCCTTAAGATCTGTGTCAAGCACTAACTTGAGGGGCCTTCTGATGACATAAATGGGGCGTTTCCCTTTTAGATTTCTCTTTTAGCAGAGCTTTTAGGCAGCAATTAAAACTTCTACTGACATCACTGTAAGCATGGCTGAAAAAGAAATGAAGTGGAGGTCTTTGATTTGGACAGCAGCTTTGGATACATCCATTTATTTTCATTTTGACATTTAAAAGGAGACAGACGGATCAAAATTAGGTGATGTTTCAAAAATAAAACATATGGCAAGCTAGAGAGAAAAATAAGGATCTGTCGTGAAGTATTTTTGAATACAACAGCAGGGATAGCTGCAGCTTGCTCTACTGTCTAGTCAGGTTTGCTGAGAATAACCTGCTTAACTGATCTTTCCTTGTAGCAGCTTGATGTCAGCCATCAGTTGCTAGTAAAGACACCAGTTTAAGGAACAGATGTAACTGTGGCCTTTATTTGGACTAATAAAGGCAGATAAGATCTTTAAAAAAAGGCTACAATTACTTTAAATTAAAAATGTAAACATAGGCTCTCAGCCAAAGTCTAGGAAACTTTTGAGTTCAGTGAGTTGCCAGAACATTAGCATACTTCTTATCTCTTACCCACAAAACTTCCTCCCCCAAAAAAGCTCCCAAAAATAGCCAATGGCTTCAGTTTTCCTGGAATCTGTTAACCTCGTATATGGAAGCTTGACACACAAACATAAGAGCTTTCTGAAATTTTGAATTTCTCATTTCTCCAGCCAGATCTTGGGAGGGCTAAACCACCTCTGCTTTGCAGAGCTTATAGGTACTTTTGGCAGTGCTGCCTCTATACAAAGCAGAGTAAGATGTAAAGCTGCTGGGTAATGCACTGCTGAGCTGACCTATCAGTTGATTCTAATTTCACCTAAAGTTGTAAGATGTTGACATCACGATACTTTGTGGAGAGTAGCCCTTTCACCTGGCTTCTTTTGCAGAGTGATATGCAGCTCTGGGGTGCCGAAAACCATAGTGTAACAGCTCTTAGTAAATATTTTGTTCCTCAAAGCATTTGGTACTAGGTGGTGAGCAGGGAAACCCAAATATTTTTGTACCATTGTATAGAAATCTTGATCTAATGCCCCATTAACTGTTTAATTTTCAAGGCACATTCTTTTTCCCATGAAAACAGCCAGCTGAGGTGGGGTTTTCACTGTGGCCTTCTGTAGCCTGTGAGATATGGTACAGATGGCTCCATCTTGAGAAGGTCTTAGATGCGTGGTGAGGGTTGCACAGTTTTATCACATTAGTGGACATCAGAAGAGTATGAAACTTAGAAACATATGAAAACAAGACCAACGACTACTAGTTCTAGACGTGAAAGACTAGAAAAAGCACCTGATGGCAGCATTGAGGGTAATGGAACATGAGATTGGATGGCTGGAGTTCAGAGGCAGACAGAAGACTCACAACATGGACACACACCAACCATACCTTCACTGGTTCCTTTGCCTTTCCTGTCAGGTAACTCTAACCCTGTGCCCCCCGAAGGATATAAGGAGACGTCCGTTGGCACTGGCCAACTGCTGGCTGTGTCTTCCGTGATTTCATACATCTGCCCTTCCATCGGCTGCAGGTGCCAGTTTAGGCCAAACAGGTGCATGGCTGTGGTGAGCAATGAGAAAAGTCATCTTTTTCTGTTTGGGAGAGTTCAAGAACTACAGGGGCACTTTCTGAACCCTTGCCTCGCTGCCTTATTAGTGGTCATTGCTTTAGGACAAGAATGGGGTTAATGTAATTAGGCAGCCCCTGTGGCTTCTATCATACCAACTGCCTAGGTCTTGCCACCCACTTAAGCTTGTTTTGGGTCACCTGTACCAAAGCACTCTGCTTCTTCCAGTAGAACCACTCCTGTCTCGTGGCCCGCATGAGAGAATAACCAGGCACAGTGCTTCAGAAAGCTCCCAGGGTTGGGGTGGCAATGTGGTGAACACAGAAATACAAGGAGCATTATTTATCAACGTACCAATAAATCCCAGGAACCTGCACTCTGGTTTGTTTTGGTGTATTCATAGTGTATTATGTAAGTCTTCCACCCCCCCCTCCCACCCCCTCGCAATTATACACAGAAGCTCTCACAGTATTTTCCTGAATAAGACAAAGTGAAAACTAAGACTATTTAAGATCCATCTTGCCACACACCATGGTGCTCAGCACCAGGAATGTGAGCAACTATGACTGAGCACTCCTTCGTACAACTCAACTTCTATTCAGATCAAAGGTACATCCTCAAGATTTGAAAACAAGGAGCACCATTTAGATTCGTCTGATATGAGGGCACAGCTTTCTGTAGGTTTCTGGGTCATGCAAAGTCATCCAGGGCACACGTGAATCTATTTCAAGGCATTACATAAAGACAAGTGAAGTCAGGGAACAAGACAGAATACTTAAAAAGCAAACACAAGTATGAGGAGTATGGAAAATCATATGCTTATACAACTAATACTTGCTTCTTGAAAATAAAGAAGCAAAAGAATGTGGCTTCCCATATCAGTTCTTCCATCCCCAGCATAAACATTTCATACTCAATCAGTATACAGTGTAGCTTCAGGCTCTGTACAGCTAAAGGATCCGATATTTGCAACACTTGCAATGACACTTCTTTTTTAAAGGGAATGCCTGGATATTTTACACTATATTTTCTCCAAGAAAATGTACAATGGCACTAGCATCACAGACATTTAATGTACACAAAACTAGTCAAGAAACAGAGCATTTCCATTGCCTATAGTTCTCCATTTTTTCACAAAGATACATCAGAGCTTGGCAAACACTGCCAGGGACAAGTGGTTAGTTTATTTAAACCTGTGCATCGGGAACAATCTTTTCAAGAGGACTGAAAAATAATCGGAGTAGTTCTCCACATCCGGCATGTTTAGGCAATTTAGCAAAATCAGTGATTTTTTCCACTTCAGTCTCAATTAGGTCATCTATCATTTACTCACATGAATAAGCCTGTCTTTGTGCTACTACAGCAGAGCAAAACACGAGAGCAAAACTCTGCTTTCACTATGTAAGTGGGGACTGGGTTTGTTAACAAAGCTTTCACCACACAGAAACAAAGTACCCTCCTAAAAACTCCTAAACAGCTGGAAGGTCTCCCGGGGACCTGTCTGAAATGCCAACATTTCCGTACAGGTACACATACCAACAAGGAATGCCAGCAGCACAACCGGTAATTCAACCAGGATTCTTTAAGCAGAAGGGCCAGTATTTTCATCTGAACGGAGAATGTTTACTTGGCAGGGAAAGTGTGCAAGGGAAGAGAAGTCAGACTGGGAGCAAGGAATTAGCATCAAGCATTTGGCATTGCTATGCTTGCACAATATCTTGGTGTTTCTATGGCCCTCATCAGCAGAGTGCTCAGGCACTTCATAGCTATTAACCTCATAAAACCTCATCAGGTAGGAAGCTGTTATTTCTGCTTCACAGAAAAAGAAACACAGCAGATTAAAGGACTGACTCAATTCACATGTTTGGCCTTTAAAATGTGATTGTGTGTTCCTTCCCTTAATTCACTCCACGCTCACAGCTCCACAAGCCCCACCAGGCATTTCATGCACACACCCCCCACCAGCAGTTTTTAAACTAAGCGTAGTACTGGCTGCTGCCTGAGAAGTGGTCCACCCAGGCTGGACCTCTCCATGGACCAGAGAGTTACCGAGGTGCTGCTGAGGGGTTAGAGGTGAGCATGTGTGAGTTCCCATGTTGAACCACACGGCTGTCTGCAGTTCTGAGCAGAATGAAAACCGCACTCTTTGCTCCTCCAGACTCAGGCAATCCTGGGCAGCAAGCAGTCCAGGTGCCTCGGCTGGCCCCACGTGCTGAATCCCAATTCCATCCATCAGATGTCTTCCTATTACAATGACTTCCATGTGGTCATACTGGGCTCACTGGTTCAGGCAGGAATTGAGCCAGTTGGTGGGGTTTTTGCACTACACCACTCAACTTCCTCTGCCCTTTGGATACCACAGCGTAAGTGCCTCACAAACTCTTTGGAACACACTGAAAGGCCACTGTGTCCCTGAGAGGACATTGTTTCCCCCCTGCTCCTTAGGAGGAATTTGTTACCAGTTGATCATTATTCACTGTGAGAAAATGAAAGTGAAGAACTCAGCATTGGTTTGGGTGTAGTTGTAAAGTGATGAGCATCCCTGCCAGTGAGTAAAATGCATTTAAAAACACCAGAGAGGAAATACCTTGGGAAGAGAACATCTTCCTTCAGTGTAACTAAACAACTGGCAGTCTGGAAGTTCTACAGCATTTTTGCACATTATAGACTCACAGAATCATTATGGTTGGAAAAGACCTCCAAGATCATCAAGTCCAACCATCAACCCAGCACTGCCATGACGACTGAACCATGTCCCCAAGTACCACGTCCACACATTTTCTGAACCCCTCCAGGGCTGGGGACTCCAACACCTCCCTGGGCAGCCTGACCCAATGCCTCACCACTCTGGCAGGAAAGAAATTCTTCCTAATATCTGATATAAGCCTTCCTTGGCACAACTTAAGCCCATTTCCTCTCACCCTGTCACTAGTTATCTTATCATCTCTCTGAAGACCATCCTGATCCTTGAACAGATCAACAGTTCTGCTCAATTTGGTGTCATCTGCAAACTTACTGAGGATGCATTCAATCCCCTCATCCAGATCATTGATAAAGATGTTAAATAAGAGTGGACCTAGCACTGAGCTCTGGGGAACACCACTTGTGACCAGCCACCAACTGGATTTAACTTCTTTCACCACAACTTTCTGAGCTCAGCCATCCAGCCAGTTTTTAAGCCAGCTCCTGGCTGTTTATTGTTACTATCTTCCAAATACCAGTAGTGTCCGATTGGCAAAGTGGTGGAAGATTCTTTCTTCTCCTTGCTCCCCCTAACTGACATATTTGTGGTAAACTGTCAAGTAGCAACAGCCGTGGATGTCTTGGGTCTCTACTTCCCAGTGGACTGGGTAAAAATGTTGATGCATATATTTTAAGAAACGCACAAATAAACTTTGTTCTGGGCTAAATTGATGTAAAGTTCTTTCTTGGGGGAAAAAAAAAAAGGAAGACCATAATCAGGGAAAAACACTGGAACCATAGATGAGAGCACAATCATATTTTGAACTGTTAATGTTCCTAAAAGCAAAGTGAAGCTGTAAAAATAGTTTGAGATTCCTGATGTTCTCCATCTCCATCAGGTCAATGGAACCCACTGCTGACATTTTCTTTGGCTGTTTTTTTCCCCTCTGCTCAGCTAGATGTAAGATGTGGCTCACAAAGAGCAAATGCCCTCTTAAAAGCCCCCACGTCCTTCTCCCTCCCCTTCACCAACATGATGCTCAGCAGATATTCATACACTGAAGGCTCCCCATGTATTAGAAGAGCACACTGCCAATTAACAATCATTAAAGTGTACCCTTTTGTAAAATACCATGTAGCTTTCACTGCCTAGGAAGCCCCATGACATGCTCTTTGCAGAAGCTTCGGTTACATTTCCCATGGCTAATAAAACTCTTTAGTTCTTCTCTCAGAATGGAAACAACACGTAGGGGAAACCCTGCATGGGTCCTCTCTGGGCTGTTTCAGCACCAACAACTTAGATGTTACAAAAGCATCTGGGACCTCTGCCCATTATGCTCGTGTTTTGAAATTAAATCTTTTGAGTTACACAACCTTTTAACTGTAGCTAAGTGGTAGCAAAAAATGCCCTGGAACTTGCTGAGTAGGTAACAGAATTTTCTGTGGAAGAATAAACTATCTTATCCTCAGTCCTAAGTCACCTCTGGCTGCCTTCTTGGTGGGGAAAAGAAAGAAGCCAAACTCCAGCCCTTTCAGGGATTAATTACTGTGCTGAGTTCAGCATTTCAACCACAGCCGTGTGATGTGGTTGTTCACTTGCTGGACTCAGATTCACTTTAGAAAAGCAAATTTATGAGCAGTTTAGCATCAGCTGAGCTATTTAACCATACAGATAAATCAAAGTTTGTACTGGCGCAACCAAGTGTTCAGGATCATGATTCTTCAGGTTTTAGCACATTATCTCTTTCTGTATTGCATTATTCCTATCCCACAGCTATCTGTGGAGGCCATAAGCAACATCAGCTAAGGCTATTAGGCCAAATAAAGAGGAGCATTGTTTCAAGGTTTGTTTTGAACACACCCAGCCTTTGGAGTATCTTTGTTTTATTGCCACTTGCTTATGACACAGCAAAACACTTGAAGTCAAAACAACTTACTCAGCAGAGTACAGAACAAAGAAACTGGTCCAGCATTTAGGATGAAAAAGGGCAAACAAAGATAATAATTCACATGGTCAACAAAATGGACACCTCTTGAGACAGGTTGATGGAGCGAAGGAGTTAGCAGAGAGAGGCAGATGATTGTGATAGATCACAGGGAGAAGAAAAGACAAGACATGCTTACTGAAGCATATGAGACCCCCAGAAACCACATCAGTCAGCAAAAAATTGAAAAACACACTGCTGGCCCTTTATTAGCTTGTTGCCTTGCCCAAAGCAGCAAGCTAAGTGTAATAAATAACCAACCAATCAATTACAATGTCTGAAATTAAGGCTACAGCTGAAGCCACCAGCTGCTTCAGTAGTGTTTG